CCATTTTTCCCCATTTTTCCCCATTTTTCCCCATTTTTTCTCCATTTTTTCCCCAATTTCCCCCAATTTTCCCTCCCATTTTATTCCAATTTTTCCCCCATTTTTTCTCCATTTTTTCCCCATTTTTCCTCCAATTTTCCCCCAATTTTTCCCCATTTTTCCCCATTTTTTCCCCCATTTTTTCTCCATTTTTCCCCATTTTTCCCCCATTTTTTCTTCATTTTTCCCCCATTTTTTTCCCATTTTTTTCCCATTTTTTCCCCATTTTTCCCCATTCCATTCCCCCTTTCCCCCCTTTCCCCTCCCCCATTTCCCCACCCCCATTCCCATAACCAGGAACCCCAAATTTCATTTGCATTTCCTTTTCTTTCTCAGCATTTCCTGAAACCCCGGCCACAAACAAACCCCCCAGAGCCGGCCTGGATCCTTCCAGAACCTTCCTCCTCCTCTCTCGGTGACTTCCAGGCCTGGCAACATTGAGAATGGTTTATTCCCTAAAATTTCATCATTTTCCTATCTAAATTCTCTTTTTTTTCTCCCTTAAAATCCCTTTTTTCCCCCCAAAATTCCCCTTTTTTCTTCCTAAAATCCCCTTTTTTTCTCCCTAAAATTCTCTCTTTTTTCCCCTTAAAATTCCCTTTTTTTCCCCTTTAAAATTCCCATTTTTCTCCCTAAAATTCCCTTTTTTCCCCCTAAAATTCCCTTTTTTTCCCCTAAAATTCTCTCTTTTTCCCCCTAAAATTCCCTTTTTCTCCCCCCAAATTCCCTCATTTTTCCCCTTAAAATTCCCCTATTTTCTCCCTAAAATTCCCTTTTTTCCCCTTTAAATTCCCTTTTTTCCCCCCAAAATTCCCTTTTTTTCTCCCTAAAAATTGTCTTTTTTTCCCCAAAATTCTCTCTTTTTTCCCCTTAAAATTCTCTTTTTTCTCTCTAAAAATTCCCTTTTTTCCCCTAAAATTCCCTCATTTTTCCCCTTAAAATTATCTTTTTTTTCCCCTTAAAATTCCATTTTTTCTCCCTAAAAATTCTTTTTTCCCTCTAAAATTCTCCTTTTTTCTCCCTAAAATTCCATTTTTTTACCTTAAAATTCCCCTTTTTTCTCTCTAAAATTCCCTTTTTTTCCCCTTTAAATTCCCTTTTTTTCTCCCTAAAAATTGTCTTTTTTTCCCCAAAATTCTCTCTTTTTTCCCCTTAAAATTCCCTTTTTTTCCCCTTTAAAATTCCCATTTTTCTCCCTAAAATTCCCTTTTTTCCCCCCAAAGTCCCCTTTTTCCCCCTTAAAATTCCCATTTTTTTCCCTAAAATTCCCCTTTTTTCTCCCTAAAATTCCCTTTTTTCTCTCTGAAATTCCCTTTTTTTTCTCCCTAAAATTCCCTTTTTTCCCCTAAAATTCCATTTTTTCCCGAGGATCCCCTGTTAATCTGGGCTGGCAACGTTGAGAATGGTTTATTCCCTAAAATTTCATCATTTTCCTATCTAAATTCTCTTTTTTTTCTCCCTAAAATTCCATTTTTTTACCTTAAAATTCCCCTTTTTTCTCTCTAAAATTCCCTTTTTTTCCCCTTTAAATTCCCTTTTTTTCTCCCTAAAAATTGTCTTTTTTTCCCCAAAATTCTCTCTTTTTTCCCCTTAAAATTCTCTTTTTTCTCTCTAAAATTCTCCTTTTTTTCCCCTAAAATTCCCTTTTTTTCCCCTTAAAATTCCTTTTTTTTCCCCTTAAAATTCCATTTTTTCTCCCTAAAAATTCTCTTTTTTTCCCTCTAAAATTCTCCTTTTTTCCCCCTAAAATTCCCATTTTTTTCCCTAAAATTCCCTTTTTTTCTCCCTAAAATTCCCTTTTTTCCCCCTAAAATTCCCTTTTTTCCCCCTAAAATTCCCTTTTTTTCCCCTAAAATTCTCTTTTTTTCCCCCTAAAATTCCCTTTTTCTCCCCCCAAATTCCCTCATTTTCCCCTTAAAATTCCCCTATTTTCTCCCCAAAATTCCCTTTTTTTCCTGCCTAAAAATTCCCCATTTTTCTCTCTAAAATTCCCTTTTTTTCTCCCTAAAATTTCTTTTTTTCTCTCTAAAATTCCCTTTTTCTCCCTAAAATTCCCTTTTTTCCCCTTAAAATTCCCTTTTTTTCCCCTAAAATTCTCTCTTTTTCCCCCTAAAATTCCCTTTTTCTCCCCCCAAATTCCCTCATTTTCCCCTTAAAATTCCCCTATTTTCTCCCCAAAATTCCCTTTTTTTCCTGCCTAAAAATTCCCCATTTTTCTCTCTAAAATTCCCTTTTTTTCTCCCTAAAATTTCTTTTTTTCTCTCTAAAATTCCCTTTTTCTCCCTAAAATTCCCTTTTTTCCCCTTAAAATTCCCTTTTTTTCCCCTAAAATTCTCTCTTTTTCCCCCTAAAATTCCCTTTTTCTCCCCCCAAATTCCCTCATTTTTCCCCTTAAAATTCCCCTATTTTCTCCCTAAAATTCCCTTTTTTCCCCTTTAAATTCCCTTTTTTTCCCCTTTAAATTCCCTTTTTTTCTCCCTAAAAATTCCCTTTTTTCCCCTAAAATTCCCTCATTTTTCCCCTTAAAATTATCTTTTTTTTCCCCTTAAAATTCCATTTTTTCTCCCTAAAAATTCTTTTTTCCCTCTAAAATTCTCCTTTTTTCTCCCTAAAATTCCATTTTTTTACCTTAAAATTCCCCTTTTTTCTCTCTAAAATTCCCTTTTTTCCCCCTTTAAAATTCCCCTTTTTTCTCCTTAAAATTCTCCTTTTTTTCCCCTAAAATTCCCTTTTTCCCCTAAAATTCCATTTTTTCCCGAGGATCCCCTGTTAATCTGGGCTGGCA